TTACTCTCTCACTCACACCTAGACACAATTTAGAGTTTCCAATCAGCCTAACATGCATGTTTTTGGTCTGTGGGAGAAAACCAGAGTACCTGGAAAAAAGCCCACACAAGCACAGAGAGAACATGCAAACTCCACCCAGAAAGGTTCCGGCCAGGATTTGAACCGGCAACCTTCTCACTGAGAGGCAACAGCTCTTCCAACTACACCACCATGCCACCCATACAGCATTAGTCATCTGAAATTATATTGTTTTTCTTACACTTTGAGTATATTAGGCAAGTAAACAAATGTCACCTCAAGGTCATCATGTTGGTCTAACAAGACTTTCTGAGCTTCTTTAAAGTCTTCTCTACTAATATTCTAACTCTGGACTGATGTGCGTAAACACTCCAACCACACTGATTATGACAGTAATTATTATTAGTTTTTATTACTCGCTGTTTTCCATTCACCTTTGCCCCACTTCAGGTCATTCACTCGACACGAGTTGCTGACATTTCAGCAGAACAGGAAAACGAGTGGCTCTCTGAGCTTTTCACTGTGGGATTTCACCATATGCCGATCATGTTCCTTCCCAGTTTGTTTTCCAGGTATCAGGGCATGAACTTGCAGGCAGGACATTTTGGTTTCGACCAATAGCAAACTCTTCGCATGAATAACCATTAACCTGATGGCTGGGTCATCTAGTTCTTGTAGTCTGCGAGCTGAGCATGCTTTTTTGAACAATAAATAGCAAATTTATTTATATCTACAGCTACATTGAAGATTTTGTACTCTCCCTGCTAGTTTTAAAACTAATACTAATTTATATTTCCAGAACAACACCCCTATACACTTTTTATGTTTTTATAGTAGTTAATAAGAGTTGATTGAAACCAAGGAAAACGAGCAGAAAAGCTCAGCTAAAAATTGTAGGATGGGATCATTAATAAGTCTAAGATAATCGGTAGAAAATACAAAAAGTTTGCAAAACAATTTTTTTTTTCATTGAGTCAATCATAAGTTTGTAGATGAATTTTATAGTAAGTGGACACCACTGGTCCTGCTTCTTGTCTTTATAGAAACCTAACTAGCTTCATTTTGTGTTTTCTAAGGTCAATTGACTTTGGCAGCCATATCTAATTGGCTCCAATTGAATGGTTGGTGTACGACGTACAATTGTATTAACAGTAATATAACCAGCATTAGGGGCAGCACGGTGGCGCAACTGGTAGAGCTGCTGCCTCTCAGCGAACAGGTCCCTGGTTCAAACCCCGGTCCAGGGGCCTTCTGGGTGGAGTTTGCATGTTCTCTCCGTGCATGTGTGGGTTTTCTCCGGGTGCTCCGGTTTCCTCCCACAGACCAAAAACATGCATGTTAGGCTGAATGGTAACTCTAAATTGTCCCTAGGTGTGAGTGAGAGAGTGAATGGTTGTTTGTCTCGTTTGTCTCTATGTGGCCCTGTGATGGACTTGCGACCTGTCCAGGGTGTACCCCGCCCCTCGCACAGTGATTGCTGGACATGGGCACCAGCGGACCCCGTGATCCAATATGGAATAAACGGGTAAAGATAATGGATGGATGGATGGATGGATAACCAGCATTAGCACATTAGCATCAACAGTAATATTACTAGCTTTAACACTGGTAGAAATAGCATTAGCGGTATAAGCATTAACAGTAATAGAACTAGCATTAGCAGTATTAGCATTAGCAGTAATAAAACTGGCATTAGCAGTATTAACATTAACTGTAACAGCAATAGCAATATTAGCAACAACAGTAATAGAACTAGCATTAGCAGTATTAACATTAACATTGGTAGAACTTTCATTATCGGTATTAGCATTAACCGTAATAGAACTAGCATTAGCGGCATTAACATTAACATTGTTAGACCTTCATTAGCAGTATTGGCATTAACAATAATACAACTAGCATTAGCAGTATTAGCATTAGCAGTAATAAAATTAGCATTAGAAGTATTAACAATAACAGTAATAGAACTAACATTAGCAATATTAGCATTAACAGTAATAGAACTAGCATTAACGGTATTAACATTAACATTGGTAGAACTTTCATTATCAGTATTAGCATTAACCGTAATAGAACTAGCATTAGCGGCATTAACATTAACATTGTTAGAACTTGCATTAGCAGTATTGGCATTAACAATAATACAACTAGCATTAGCAGTATTAGCATTAGCAGTAATAAAATTAGCATTAGAAGTATTAACATTAACAGTAATAGAACTAACATTAGCAATATTAGCATTAACAGTAATAGAACTAGCATTAGCGGTATTAACATTAACATTGGTAGAAAGAACTAGCATTAGCAGTATTAGCATTAACCGTAATAGAACTAGCATTTGCAATATTAGCATTAACATTGGTAGAACTTGCATTAGCAGTATTGGCATTAACAATAATACAACTAGCATTAGCAGTATTAGCATTAGCAGTAGTAAAACTAGCATTAGCGGTATTAACATTAACAGTAATAGAACTAACATTAGCAATATTAGCATTAACAGTAATAGAACTAGCATTAGCGGCATTAACATTAACATTGGTAGAACTAGCATTATTCAATTCAATTCAAAAATACTTTATTAATCCCAAAGGGAAATTATTTGTTGTTGTAACTTATCGTCATTTCATTAAGAGATGTTATAGATACTGATGGCTGTAGACAGGAAGGATCTCTTGTAAAGGTCCATCCCACAGTGGATCCTAAGAAACTGGCTGCAGATGCCGTCCGATCCATCCACCCAGACTCGACTGGCCTCTCGGTTCCCCCGGGCTGTAGAACCGCCCGAATGCCGGGCAGAACTGCTCCCAGAGTGATGGTCACTCCTCCCAGCAGACTGCTGAGCTCCTCATATCTGCGGACAGCCAAATGTAGGTGCCGAGGGACGATCCTGTCCTTCTGCTGTCATGAGCCGTGTTTCCTGCTAGTTCCAGGATCTCAGTGGCCAGGCACTCGAGTACAGCTGTCAGGTAGATGAGAATGCGTCCACAGAACATCCTTTTCAACTCATTTGAGATTTGGGGCTGTAGTTGAGCTATTATTTGAGCTTTTGAGATGTTAATCAGCTGCTGTTGTTGTAGAAAACTGCCTTGTTGCCATGGTTACGCATCATAACAAATGTCCAAAACTAAAAAAGTTTCAGTAAAAATCCTTCCAGCTGCACAGCATCTGACACCAGAGGAAACAATCATCCAAAAAAATGTGATTTACATCCAGAAAAGGAGGAATTAAAGTTTCCAAAAGCAAAATCTCAGAATGAAAGTAACAGAGCTGCTCCAACATGCAGCCACCTTGAGCGGCGCAATTCTAGAACTCTAACTAGAACTCTAGAAGTTCTAGAACTTTAATTCTAGAACTCTTAGCAGTTTGGCATTAACAATAATAGAACTAGCATTAGCAGTATTAGCATTAGCAGTAGTAAAACTAGCATTAGCAGTATTAACATTAACTGTAATAGAACTAGCAATAACAATATTCTGGATCTGGAATTGCACCGCTCAAGGTGGCTGCATGTTGGACCGGCTCTGTTACTTTCATTTTGAGATTTTGCTTTTGGAAACTTTAATTCCTCTTTTTCTGGATGTAAGTCACATTTTTTGGATGATTGTTTCCTCTGGTATCGGATGCTATGCAGCTGGAAGGATTTTTATTGAAGCTTTTGTTAGTTTTGGACATTTGTTATGATGCGTAGCCATGGCAACAAGGCAGTTTTCTACAACCAACAGCAGCTGATTGACATCTCAAAAGCTCAAATAATATCTCAACTACAGCCCCAAACCTCAAATGAGTTGAAAAGGATGTTGTGGACGCATTCTCATCTCCCTGCCGCTGTACTCGAGTGCCTGACCACTGAGATCCTGGAACTAGCAGGAAACACGGCTCATGACAACAAAAGGACAGGATCGTCCCTCAGCACCTACAGCTATCTGTCCGCAGATATGAGGAGCTCAGCAGTCTGCTCGGAGGAGTGGCCATCGCTCTGGGAGGAGTTCTGCCCGGCATTCGGGCGGTCCTACAGCCTGAAGAACCAAAAGGCCAGCCGAGTCTGGGTGGACGGATCAGACGGCATCTGCAGCCAGTTTCTTAGGATCCACTGTGGGATGGACCTTTACAAGAGATCCTTCCTGTCTACAGCCATCAGTATCTATAACATCTCTTAATGAAATGAGGATAACGAGTTACAACAACAAATAATTTCCCTCTGGGATTAATAAAGTATTTTTGAATTGAATTGAATTGAATATTTGCATTAACCGTAATAGAACTAGCATTAGCTGTATTAGCATGAACAGTAGTAGAACTAGCATTAGCAATATTAGCATTGTCATTGGTAAAATTAGCAGCAGTAGTATTCATCAGTAGTCATTGCTTTATATCGTAGCTATTTTTGTTTATTTTTCATTTAATTTCTTCTATTTACTTTTCATTTTATATGATTGTCTATTGTCATCTATACCTCATCTGTGTTCTTTGTTTAAAACAGGTCTTTCTTGTAAATGAGTCCTCGAGGCTCAGTGAGACTAACCTGTATAAATAAAGGTTGAATGAATATTGAAAGCATAATTGAAAAGACATGACTTTTTATATGTTACCTCAGATACTTTAAACAGAATTTGGGGTTCACTTAGAAAACAAATGACGAAATCAAACCAAAATAACAAAATAGGTACCAGGATATCAGAGTTTTAAGATGAAAGATTACCTGATTTATTTTAATGATACTGTTGAAATTGACAGGGAAATTACATATAAATGTAATTATAGGAAAGTATTGATTTGTCCTTAGTAACTAATTTGGAGGAAGAACCAGAGAAGTAAGTCTTCCTCCTGTTGTGTCCCCAGCCCACTGTTTGCACACTGTGACCGAGGATAACCCAGAACTGCTGCGCAGCATGAACGCTGCTGTGCTAGGAGCCCTGGAGAATGTGCTGCTGTCATCCCAGACAGGCATGGCACACACCCTCCTCAAGACTTTAGCTGCAGGTATAGTTTGTCCTCAATCTCTCCCCCACACAATTGCTTAAAACTTGTTTAAATTTACATAGCAGATAGCTTTGTCTGTTAAAATTCTAAAATAATTGAAAAATGATGTGCCTGCCTTGTCTCTCAGGGACACTGTGGAACATGAAGGGTTGTCTGCCTGAGGCCCGTCAGTCCCAGACCCTCAACGCTGTGGTGGCCTCTTTGTCACAGTGCCTGGATTTGGACGCAGGTGTGCTGATCCTTGAACTCAGAGAAGCAGAAGAGGTTCATCAGAGAAACGCAGACTCTGTAACGGACGTAGAAGAATCGGCAGCAGGAGAACTCATCGTGGAGGAGATGGTTGAAGAAGAAGAGCCACCCAATAAGACAAGGAATGGCAAAACTGCGAAGACTGATACGGACTTCTCTGACCTCCTTCCTGTAGGTTTGATTTCTAACTATTACATTCTCCACTGAGGAAAAGCTAAATGCCATACGTCTTTTCACACTATCTAAATTAAGGTTTTATTTATTGGCTTCAATTAAAACAAAACCCTCCCTGTTTTAATTAACCTCTTCTCTAGTGGATTATTAGACACAATATTCAGTATTCTGTCATTGTCTCCTACACACAAGAACTGGACTGAAAATGAATGAATATTCAGTGGAACTTCAAAGAAAACATAGTTGTAGCTTCAATCATTTCTGTTTATACATTGTAAAAGCACAAGCTGTTCACCAGAGAGCATAAACACATTTATATGTGAAGTTGCAGAAGTATAGAAAGCTCAACCCATGGCATCACTGCAATTACTTTCATCACAATTGACATTCAGATCAGAATTACCTCTTTCAGGCTCCTAAATACAGAATGAACTTTATTAGTCACATTTTGATTCACAGATTAGGGTTTAAATTAGGGTTGCACAATATTATCGGCATGGTATCGGTATCGACCGATATTAGCGATAAAGTTAAATATCAGACATCGGCCATTCCATCCAAATAACTCACTGATATAAAAGGCTTCTGTTTTAAGTTCATTTTTAATTTAAGAAACTGTCAAGTATATCTATTAATGTACTACTACTTATGCACTTTTCACTTGTTGCTTGTGAACAGGTTGAGTTTAGGTTTGTGAAATTTTACAAATTTGCACTGTTCAAGTGTTGTCATTGTGTTAGAGAGTAAATGTCATGAATAAATTTGACATTAAACATAATCCAAGTTCAAGTGTTACATCATTTTCAGCTCCTTTTTGGCATCTACATTTGTTAGCAGGTCAAACTGACAAAGACCATGCAGAATAATGTAGTGTTTTAATGCCACAGCAGAGAAATATGTACCTACAGGTTTAGGGGGGAAAAATATCGGAATTGGTATCGGTTATCGGCCAAATAAGTTTTAACAAATTGACATATCGGATATCGGCCAAAAATCCAATATTGTGCATCCCTAGTTTTACTCCTTATTCAGTACATTTGTACTTTAAAGAGAAGATGTAAGCTCTAGAGACGTGAAAAGTGATCATCTGTCAGCTTATAATGTGCTAAAAATTTGTAATGATCATAAAATATCAACACTATTAGTTCTCAGGGCTCTCCAGTTGCCTGCAGTTAAAATGGTGAGATATGACTGGTGCAAGTGTTAATGCAAGACGATGATCCACTTTTGGACTTTGAAGGCTCTTGTTGATGCCAGGTGAAAAGGCAATACGAGTCATCTGGAAGTGCAAAGCCAGACTGACAGTGTGGGTAAACCATCGTGTTTAGGGCCAAGGGCACGTCAGGAACACACTCGGCACAGTTCGTCTGGGGACCGGCGAGACAGAGCTGTCCCTCACAGCTCAGTCAGCACCAGAGCCCGGATATGGTGCTGACGTTCTCCAACTCCCCCTTTATTGAACGTTGTGGGTTAAACCATGTGGTCATCTGCAGTATCTGCAGCCATGACGGCTAAAACAGTAGATCTAAATCGTTAGGTGGAAGGTGCAACAAGTTTTTCCTTCAAAAGAACACTTTTTGAAGCAGGCTGTCGCCACGTCCCAGAACAAAAATGTGCATCTTGACATTCAGGTGCATCAGCAAGATTAAACTGCTTCTCTATGATGAGCAGCAGAACTCAGAATGGGAGATAACTGTGCTAAAAGTCATTGTTTTAGTAGGATGTTGACTCACACAGCTGTTTGTTTGTGTCCAGAGGGGTAAGGAGGAGCTGAGGGAGGCGACGGCCTTGCTGACAGCCCAGCAAACGTCTTTGGAGATCATTGTCAACATGTGCTGCTCTGACGGTGAGTGTTGGGGGCACAGACAGCAGTGCTGACCCCAGGCCCTCTTCATCAACTTTTATTTCCTGTGACACAGCCACCAAGTACGCGTTTGTCACTCTGAAAGTCCATCACAGCAGAAAAACTCGTGTAATGTATCTAAGAGTATAAAACAAGCTGCGCTGTTCCTAATTTGTATCACTCTGATTCTGTTCAGACGCCTCCGATGACGAGTGGGAGGAGGAATCGAGCAGCGATGAGAGCGACATGACTCCTGATGGCCTCTGTGATGGAGTCTGCAGTTTGATGTCTCCTCTCTGCTTGTCAGCTGAGGTTCAAGGAGCTTTGATCAACCACAGCATACCAGAAAAGGCAAATACCAGTCTGCTTCCTGAGTCATATTTCATATAGGTCACTAATCACTACAGTGTTAGAGAGCTTAGACAAGCATAAGGAATAGTTCACCTATCATCTTTGGTACGTTAACTATAACTAGAGAAATTGCATTTCCTGTGAAAATGCAGTGTGAATGCTTACTGCTGAAGAACTTGCTGAGAAACAGCTGAAATAAGCTAAAAAGTTTGCTGAAATGAAAAAAAAAAAAAACCAAGCCTTAATTACAAAAGAAAGCAGAAAGAACAAATTTTTTCTTCATTTGGTTTAAATGAACAGAAATGAGCACAAAATTAGGAAATTAGCTAAAAAGCTGAAATTAGCAAAAAAAATAGTTGAAAATGTGCAGAAAGAAGCTTAAACTATCAGAAGGAAGTGGAAAGAGCTGAAATGAGATTAAAAAAAATGTGGAATTAGCTGAAAAAGCTAAAATGAGAATACTTTAGCTAAATAGTAACTGAAATAACTAAAACAAGCAGGAAAAAAGCTGAAAGGAGTATAACAAGGTGAAATTAGCAGAAAGAAATTAATTAGGCTGAAAGAAGCAGAAATTACCACGAAAGCTTGAATTTATTAGAAAACAGCTGAAATTAGCTAAACTTGCTAACAAGGCAGCTGAAAAG